TACGGAGAGCGTGAACGATCTAATGTTGGTTGGATGGATGGATGGATGGATGGATGGATGGATGGATGGATGGATGGATGGATGGATGGATGGATGGATGGATGGATGGATGGATGGATGGATGGATGATGGATGGACTGGGTTTATAGGCCCATCAGATAGCGTTCCCCCCTGATGTAATTGACTTTACTTTTGCAATAAATGCTAAACTCTCTGCAGGTTCTTGTCTTTGTCGTCCGCTCTATTCAGCTGGCTTTGGAAACACACGGCGAGAAGGTGGGGGCTGGGTGGGGAGGGTTACGGGGGCGAGAAACGCAAAAGTATTGCAATAGTTACTTTTACTAGTAACTAGTTACTTTTATTGTGGAGTAACTCAGTTACTGTAGTAACTCAGTTACTTTTTGGGAGAAGTAACTAGTAACTATAACTAATTACTTTTTCAAAGTAACGTGCCCAACACTGATTACCAGACATGTAAGATGTAATTACCATAACAATTTAATCCATACATGAATGTTACATGTATATCGTCAGTTTATCATTTTTGGCTCTTCCGTATTATTCTGCTCCATTAACACATTAATTTTCTTGTGATGGATTGTATAATATGTTATATAACATGATTTATAGACTTCATTGACTTCATAATAACTATACAATGTGATGGGCCTATTTGTTATTCTAAGTTAAAGTAATCTACTGATTCTATGAAACAGTCAGTCTGTGTCAAAGTGATAAATGTATATTTATTTTAAAAGTCTTCCATCCCTCTATAAATTAGAACATCATCGTTGTTCGATGCAGTAGCGCACAATTTCACATTCACATATCACATTGCAACCGGTCTAACAAGGGAGTACCAATATGGCGTCCGATGGCTTCATTTCAAACCTGTACTACCAATGAGCAATCAGCAATCCAGTGAATAGAGATCAGTGGTCTTTATCCATGCTGGGTCAGATCCTGACCTTTGAAAAAGGAGGCAGGGAAAGCAGGATAAAGCCTTAGCCTCGCTGCATGCAGTTAGCCTCGCTGCATGGAGCTAGCCTAGCCTTGTGCTAAATAATCCTATAAATCTATCAATCAGCTGCACTTTCTAACAGACGACTGTGACGTCAGCGCTGTGGAGGGAGGTGGTGAACAAGTAAAGCTGCTTTCAGCTCTGGGTGCAGCAGAGCTGCTCCCCAGGATCTTTGCATTGAAGAGGAGCTGCTGCGCTGGACGACTTTAACCAGATGGAGGAAGATTTATGGAAATACGTCACTAATCTGAAGAACGAAACAGCTTTACTCGTCATTAAATATTAAATATTTATCTTGCACATCTAAAAAATATATTAATATATTTTGAAATATTTTAATTTGATGATTTCATTTTTATTCGCTTTTTTCTATCAGGGTCATTGGGTGAGTAGGGTGGCGCCCTCTATTGGCCATCAACCACTGATAAAAGGAAATATTAGGCTCAATGTTTTCCTCCAAAATGTTTTGGTTTCTCCCAAAAAAGTCTTCATCCTCTGAAGGTTTACCCCCCCCCCCAACCTCTGTGTGAGATCTACCTTTTTCCCTCCATCTCCTCCCGTCTAGACTCTTTTTTCACATCTTGTCGTCCCCCTCACCCCCTGACCTCCCTCCATTCTGCGTCTCCCCCTCTGCTGGGCCCCGTGCAGAGCCGGCCGCCCCCCCCACGTTGCGTGCCTATTAACGGGCCTTGGTGGCCTGTAATGATGTCTCTCCTGCCTGAGCAGCTGCTGTAATGCTGAATAGGAAGGGAAAATGAGAGATTCGCCACATCAGAATCATTGTTTCTGTGCCGCCGTGTGTTTCAGACAGGAGGAAATGAAGCTTCCACCGAGGCTCCTCCACATTCGCCCAAACCTTTTTTTTCCCCTTTTTAAATCTTTCTGTCTTGGAGGTGTCAAAGATTGCTTTCATTCGGTTTGTTTTCTAAGATGGCTAAGAAGAAAATGGAAAATGAACAGAAAAAAGCTGAATTCAAATTAAACGAAGTACGTCCAGATTTATAATTTCAATGAACATTTGAAGAACTGAAAGCATTCAGTTTAATTAGGATGCGTTTACCACTAAAACCCAGCTCTTTTCCTGGTCTTTATCTCGCAGTTCTTCACGCTTGCGTCCATCATGGCAGGACGGACAACTGCTGCAGAATCTGTCAGTCAGCTGCTTTATTTCCAGGGTTTATGATTATAACAGGATGCCAGCAGCTGCACCACACAGCGACAGACACGGAAAAGCACAGAGGACTCCATCCGATTCAAGGATTTACTGGCTTAGCGTACATTCATAGGCGTAGCGGTGATTATATGTGAGGAGGACGGGGGATACATGAGGACAGTGGAGAGAGTTCAGTTCAACAGTATCAGTTAACCCTGCTTAAAATGATACAAACCTCTCTAGTTTTATTATCTTCTAACACTATAACATGAATCATTCTATCTCTATTCTCCCACTCTGCAGAATCTGTTTGGCTGTGACTCCATCCTGGAGAGAAATATCAGCTGTGCTGCTGCCATCAACACCTTTGTTTCTAGATGTTGGAGCTTGGCCTGTTTTCCAGTGTAGTCCTGTTTCTCTGTCTGTGACTAACTGGATGTGCTCTCTTCATCCTCTGACATGGGAGCTGGCTCGGAGCTCGTCTGCCTGGCTGTGTGTTTCCTGGACGGGGCCGCCTGTGGAGCTGGTTGACAGTTGCCTTTTGTATCCATGCTTCTTTTTCTATGTCTGCTTCTGTCTCCTTGAACCCCAGTGGGCCTCAGCAGATGGCCGCTCACACTGAGCCTGGTTCTGCTGGAGGTTTCTTCCTGTTCAAAGGGAGTTTTTCCTCTCCACTGTCGCTACAAGCATGCTTAGTGTGAGGGATTGCTGAAGAGTCAATGAGTCGATGCAATCAGCTGGTTTTCCTTAGATAGAAAACTTTGAATCAATCTGACTGGATGATCTGGTGAACTGGAAAGTGACCTGAGATGACATGATGTGAATTGGAGCTATAGAAATAAACTGAATAGAATTGCATGTGTTTCACTAATATTTTTCTATTGTTCAGTTTAATCGCTCTTGAACATCTCAAGACCTCGAATTTGGGGCTTTAAGTCGGAACCAGTAGACGTTTATGAACATTTCCATTTTCCACAAGTCTATTTTTTAAGGTTTTCAAATGCTCCATTTCCACTAGCCCTCATTCGTAAGGGTGGTGCAAATGGGGCTCAAGTTGGGGTCAGAGGTCAAAAGTATTAATGTTTATCACTCCAGTAGAAGTATAAATCCTGCTGTTTAAAAACACTTTTATAGAAGTTAGAGGATCTACTTCAGCTTTTTACTCCAGTGACAGTGTAAAACAAGCGTTTGTTTTGGTCCACTCTATAAAACCTGGAACTAAACGCTATTTCTGACATTTTGAATTGAAAAAGTTTCCTGGATGGAAGAGAAACGTCTTCAAACTTGGAAATAAAGTCCAGAGGATTGTTTTTAACTTTTTTATGACTATGACCTGGTTGACTGAGAATCTTCAGCGACTGATTATGGAAATGATAACTGATTAACAATTAATGCTACAGTATAAATTAGAGAGCTGGACATAAAATACAGAAGGAATACTAAAATCTAAACACTTAGGTCTTAAAAGTCCTTCTTTGAGGAAAAGTTTCCGGAACTGTCAGTGACTGAATGAGTTTGGACAGTTACACACATCAAACCAAGTACAGCAGGTACGACTTCCACTTCAAATATGCTCCCCTTCCTCCGCCTCAGGCGATTTTTATCAAGTCCACTGTGTTTTATTTCAAACAGCTTTACTCATATGGATCCTTCTAATTGGTGTGTTATGATCAGCTGTATGTCACCATGCAGAGTTATGAATAAATTAAATCCGACTGCATCTAGTTAAAATTCAGTCTGTCAAATATGGGCTGAAACTGATATGATTGGATAAAGCAAATCCAATGAATTCAGGTAATTTGAAGTGAATTAGGTTGCATATAACTGAACACAACCAGATGGTAGAACTGAGGGTGTCAGGAATGGATTGTGGTTTGTTGACCCAAATGCAGAGGCAGGGAGGCAGAGGTGATTTTCGTGTGGATTTAATGAAAGGTTAACTGAAAACAGAGGCAGGTAATCCAAAAATCCAAATATAAAAACAAAGTCCAAAAACAAACAGGGAACCAGGAATCCAAACATCCAAAAAGAAAACAAAGCCCCACTAACATGAAACCAGGAGTCCCAACATCCAAAAATCAAAACAAGAAGAGTCAAGACGAACCAGAACCATGGAGACATCAGAGGGATCACAATCACAAGGACGAAGGCTCAGAGAGACGGAGTTGGAGGAAGTTTGACGAGGACCCAGCAAAGAAGAACGGAACAGAGAGAGTATTTATGGGAGACTGAAAAAAAGCAAGAACTAATGAGCAGATTGGGAGCAGGTGTGAGCAGAGCAGAAACAAGAAAGGAGCAAAGGAAAAAAGGAGAACACAAGAGGGCAGCAGAGGGCAACAAATAAAAAACTGAGAACTGAAAATAACCAGAAAACACAACAAAATAGGAATGAAACCAAAAAAAACAAGAAAACATGGAACAAGGTAAAACAGAATACAGAATGAAGACCATAACAGAGGGCTGATTCCATCCCATCGTTACCACAGAGGACTCGTACCTGTGTGCGTTCAGAACACTCGGATGCTTAACTGGGAGCAACCAGGGTTCGAAAATCTTTCCCCGCTTGTCAGAGAAGCAGCTGTTTTTTTAGCCGTGTGGTAAATAGAACATCTAAAGGTGTTTTGACCCCTTTTAACTGGAAATAAAATGTTTATAGATTGCTGCGTTTCTAACTTGATGTTATGTCCAGTTTTCCTTATAAGGGTACTAAAAACAAACCCCATCTGTCTTATCTGAGCCTGATTGAGATCTCTGTAACAGTATGTAGACCACCAGCACTGCCTCCATCTGCTAACTTCCACATGAACACATTCAGGAAAGGGTTACTTACAGATCACTGTCTTTGGTTCCCTGTTCCCCCACATCTGCTGTGCAGCAGCTCCTGGAGGCAAGAAGACAATAAACAGGTCAGTAACCTGGCTGCTTTCTGCTTTCTGTTAGGGACAGTACTAAAAAGTAGATAATTTTTGCAACAGGACAAAAATTTTGCTAGAAAATCAAACCAAGGTGATGCATTTTCGTAAGACAGCTTTATGATTGAGGAAGTCCTCTGGAGATAAGACTGGGAAACTTTTCTCTGATCCCTTTTTTTGATCCCCTTGATATTCCAGAAATAAACACCATCACTGATAAACTAAAAACACCTTCTGCAGGCCATTACATTATTCCTGCCTTTCTTATCAAACAGTAAAATATTTTCTTTTGAAATCACATCATTACATTGTTCTTTATCTCCTTTTAAAATATGTGAATGTATCAAATCATATCAAAGATCAGAGCATATGTTCCATATTTTTGAATAACTACAGGCCTATATCTATTCTTATGTTTACAAAATGGATCTCCATCACCGTGGTTATGATTCTTTATGACCATCGATATGGTTTTATGAAGAATCGCTCCACATATATGGCCTCTCAAAGGTCAAAGGTTTCATCCTGCAGTTCAAACTGTGACTGTTAGGCTGTAGGTATGTTTCTGTGCTGATCTGCGATGGAACGGTGACCCATCTAGTGTGGATCCTACCTTGTAGCCATAGACTGCTGGGGATATGTACATAGCTATTTTTGCACAGGCAGGAATTTGTTTGATTAAAGGGTTTTAATGCTAACAGAGCTAAGATATTTAATGGAGTTTGTCAGGGCTCCAGTATTGGTTCTGGTTTACATGAGTTATTTATTCAGTACTTCCAGTGTGCCATCTCCATTTCTGTTTGCTGATGATGCTACCCGGTTTTTCTTACCCTGCTGTGTCTGAGCCCTCCCCCCACATCCCCCACCCCAGCAGAGCCGTAAACACACCGGCTTGTAGGCAGTGCCACGGATTCACCAAATATCAATGATAAACTTTACCTTAATAAACACCTGCACCGCGGCAACGTTTTCTAGAATGACAGTGCGTGCCTTGTGGGGGAGGGGCCTGAGCAGTCTGTACACGAGCGTGATTGACACTGCTAAGTAGGGGTGGGTATTGCCAAAGAAGTCACAATTCCATTCGAATCACGATTCACAGGCCACGATACGATTCTATCACGATGCATCACGATACTTGAATTATTAGGATTTTCACTGAACACTATTAGAAAAAAATACAGCCATTACCAGTGGCTGACTGGCTGAGTATGATCTGGGTAGTGTCTTCCAATTGTTTTTTTTTTTTTTTACCAAAATGCTTCCAAACATCGGATTTGAAATGTGATGGAGCCGGACGAATTTCTCAATCTCCTCCATGTTTTGTTTTTGAATGACTCGGCGCAGTATCCCGCGGCCGGAAATGCTTGTGACACAAGGCAGCGTGCGTCAACACATCCGCAGCGACATCTACTGGACTGGAAGTTGTATTACACTTGTTTTTGGCTGATGTTCTCAAACCATTCATGCAATTTTATTTATTCATTTTTTTTAATTAATAATCGATACTTGGCGTCAAGAATCGATGCAGTAGATCACGAAAATTAGAATCACGATGCATCATCATGACGATTATTTTGCGCACCCCTACTGCTAAGACTTTTCTCCTGGCTTTGATTGGTTAATTTCTGCCGATGGTATTGCGACCTCTAGGGGGAGCCAGAGGGGCTTGATATTTTTCACAGATTATCAGCCTCATATCGTAAACATGTAAACATTAGAAGTCTACAAATGTTACCCACTGGTACTTTACTCGACTTAATCCGTGATCATTTGGTTTCTTAGGTCTTTCCCTCAGAATATCTGAACGGACAAATGATCTGTCCAACAGGTCATTGGTGAGAAAGCTGCAATGCTGGGAAATGTGGTGTGATTTAGAGCTGCTTAGTTCAAGCATTTACTGTATGCAAATGGTGCTATACTGCCAGGGGCGGATTTAGGATATTTAGGGCCCTAAGTGGAGAAAAGCAGGGGAAAACACATAAAACACTCCCATTCTACAGATAGAGAAATGTTAATAGAATAGACATCCATTATCTGTTCTAGGTTGTGTCCCTCTCTTCTTGTCCCTTTTCTTCTTGTTTTCCTCTCTATGTTTTGTACTCAGCTGACTTTTCATGCTGTCTCTAAAGGAATGAAAGATTTTTTCCAAGCACTAAGCTCACTTAGCTGATTGCTCCTTCCTGTGTTTCCAAAAAGGCCAAAGTAAATAACCCAGTCCTTCTTTTCACTGTAGACAAGCCATGATCTGCTTATGTGTTCTCCATTTTTCATTTGGATGAAATAATAGCTGCATGAATCATGACAGCAGACAAGATAGAGGAGAGCAGGAGGCGGGGCTACCAATCTACTCGCTCTGGAGAGCAGAGTTCGCTGCTTTTAGATGTTGTCTCCAAAGTCTCCAGTAGCAGAAAAAAGTCTCTAGATTTGGCGCTAGGAGCTTTTTAGAAATCAAAGTGCTAGAGGGGTCTGAAAAGTGGCTAAATATAGGGACAAGTGCTTGGTGACCTAGGTGCCCTAGGTCCCCCCCCCCTGTATACAGCGAATATGGACGGAAATCTCTGAGGAGAGTTCATGACACCTTACTGAATTGGTGCCATGAAGAATTAGGGCAGTTCTGAAGGCAAAAGTGGGTCAGACCTGGCATTACAGTAGCAAGGTGCATTTTCTGTGCTGTTGCAGCATCGGTGTTTGGGCAGTGATACTGAATTACTGTAAGGTGGAATCATTTTGTGCCCAGCACTCAGAGCATGTAAGTGAACACAGTAATGCAGTGCAGGAGGTCATGGTTGGGATGCTAAAGACTGATGGGAGAACTAAGCTTCCCTCCATAAGCAGAGCTCAGCTGATGCCTAGAAAATGCCACTGGAAGCACAATACTGTCACTGTCACCTGCAAATATACAAAGACACTACAGGTTAGTTTAGACTGTCAGTCACACCGCATGTAGAGTATGTCCAATATCACATACAGTCTAATCTGGTTTCTAAACAGTCAGGGTTGGGAGCTTGGAAGAGACATAAAAGGCGCTGGGAGGGAGGGGTTCATCCTGAGTGTAAGCTCAGCTGTGATGTAACTGTGGATGATGGCGGTGCCGCAGTCACTTTATCGTTTGAGGCAATATCCTCAGACAACCTCAGCCTCTCTTTCCTCTCCTGGCTTCTCATTGGTGCCATCTCTTCCACACCCAGCACCATCTCTCTCCGCCTTGCAGGCTCCTCGTCTTTGCTGTCATCCTGGTCATGCATCACTGCCTCCGCTCTGCATCCAGCCCAGCATCCCTCGCCAGCAGCAGCTCTTCCGCATAATGTGTCGGTGTGAAACGTGTTTGCTGCCAAACGTTCCCCCCCTCTCCTAAGGCTGCATATTGGATGAAGAAGCACATTTCTAATCACCCCCAATGTGTTTAGCTCTGTGTATTTGAAGCCTCCCCACACATCATCAGAACCTTTGTCCTTTTCCGTGTCCTCTGCTCCGCTCATCATCCTGGTCTCTCACTAAACTGGACCATGTCGTTCCGTCTAAGTCCGTAATAATGGCAGATCATTCAAACATCCTTTTGTATTCTGTATATTTCTGCCTCTGCTCTTTGTGGCATCTCCTCTCCTCCACTTGCTCGTCTCTCTGACTGATGGAGGGTGGGGTAATCTGCACCCGTTGCCATGACACCAGACAGCCCTTGCTTGGCGAAGGCACGTAGCTTCCTCTCCGCTCTATTTCCCTGGAGCCCTCGGCTCGGGAGCGTGTGTGCATCTGCGTCCGTGCGTGCGGGCGTGCTTCCGCACGTGCTCGGATCTGGCAGACTAAACGGGTTTCAGGGCAGCATAGATTTATTTGCTGCCTCAACATGTTGACTAAAGCAGGTTGGGGACAAGAAAACAAACAGTCCATCCACCAAGTCAAATAAAGACTTCATGTTTCAATCCAAATATTCATGGAAAAAGATTTCTATGAATCGCAGGCATGTATCCGACAGAATGCCGGGAACGCTCTGGGATCCGTTGCACTTTGGGCAGCAGATACTCGTATCATATGCTGACCACAAATCATATGGTACGCACCATTTCGTTTCCCAATGCAGAGGTTTTTCTTCTTTTTTTCAGGCGCGCTGTTAAGCTGTCTCATTCTGAAACCCTAAACTGCAGGAGGATATTTTTTCAGTCAACACACAGCCCTCATTGTCGCCCCTAACACTTTTTGGCTCTTAGTTAACATCATCATTTTTATTATAATAAATTATGTCTAGGCAACGCAGATAATAAAAACCTATGGAGATATTTGTAAAAGAAAACTCTCTACATAGAGGTGCTTTTGTTTCTTCTAACTTTCCTCCAAGTTCTTAAGAAGTAATAGAGAGGGGGAGGAGGAATGGGGGAAAGAATCTGAGGGGATAGGGTGCTTCTGTAACGCACACATGTTTGTGGGAACAGCTAAGATGATTATCCTTAGAGGCAAATATATCATTTTATGACATATATTTTTTTCATTCTCAGTTGTTAACATGTACAGTACGTCTATAAAGTTCCCATGACGTCCCTATCTATTGTGTCTTTTCTAACCATTGAATACAGGGGGGGGATTTACCATTAGGCAATAGTAGGCAATTCCCTAGGGCCCCAAGTTCCTGGGTGCCAATAAAACTGTTTATTTATGGTTAATACATCTATTCCTTATTTGTGCACATTAATTATGTCTTTGAGAAAAAATGATTTCACTTAAATGCCATCAGAACGCATATAATAGCGCTTCTCAGCCCCCCCCCCAAGCAAACCATTTGAAAACAAACCATGCAAAGAGCAGTGTTGCCAACTTAGCGCTTTAGTCGCTATATTTAGCCACTTTTCAGACCCCTCTAGCACTTTGATTTCTAAAAAGCTCCTAGCGCCAAATCTAGAGACTTTTTTCTGCTACTGGAGACTTTGGAGACAACATCTAAAAGCAGCGAACTCTGCTCTCCAGAGCGAGTAGATTG